AGCAGGATTTACTCCAGTATATATCAGCGTGTTCTTACGAAATGTGATATTTATATCAGTATATTCGTATGAAATATGATATCTATATCAGCATACTCTTATGAAATATAATATTAATATCAGTGTCACCTTATTTGATTCCCAATCAAGCAGATCTCCGTAGCCAAACCTCTGATTGGAAGATCGCTCTGACGTTATTGATTCTCTAATTCTTTTTGCATTGATCAGTGCGTTCCACTTCCCAGAATGCACCTAATGCACGTTGAAATCGAACAAGTTCCACGTATAAACCATGTGAGTGTTAGTGTAAAGAATTGACATATCATTCTTCTGCTACCTTTTTGTTTTTTATAAATACAAATGAGTCAAAAGTGAGAGAGATGGGGGTGGATGGGGAGAGAGAGAAAATGAGAAGGAGAGACAGGAAGACAGATAAAAGAGGACATTAGATGAGAGAGAGTCAAAGATAGAGAGACAGAGTGGTCGAGAGATGCAGAAAGAGAGAATCAGAAGTAGAGAGAAAGATGAAAGAGGAAGTTAGATGAGAGAGAACCAAAAAGAGAGCGACAGTGATGCGAGAGAGGGAGAAAAAGAGAGAGAGAGAGAGTGGGATCTGGCTCTGGAGATTAGCAGAATGGTGAATTAGCTGTGACAGAGAATCTCTTGCCACAGAGCGTTATAGCGGCTCTGCTATGTCCTCAGTGATCAGTGCTCAAACAGCCTTACCTTACCACCTAGACCAGGGGTGGCCAACCAGTTAGAGACTAAGAGCCAAATGTTTTACTGTGTTACTGCAAAGAGCCACACATGAACATCCCTATCCCTTCCTCACTCACACACACGCTCGCGATTGTTGACGGGGGGGGGGGGGGGGGGGGGGGGCGCAATAGTAACACACCGCGGACCTACGGCCGACGGGGGGGGCGGACCTACGGCCGACGGGGGGGGGGGGGGGGGGTGCGCGGCGCGCAATAGTAACACACCGCGGACCTACGACCGGGGGGGGGGGGGGGGGGGCGTGGGTTTACATAGGGTTTTATTGGGCAGTGTGAAAGGGGCGATACACAACACAACATTATATATGAATGTAAGAGCCGCATGAAACCAGGCAAAGAGGCCACCCCTGACCTAGACCATAGAACTAGCATAGCTGTACCTAGCATAGACCTAGCGTAGTCACACCTAGCACAGCTGTACCTTGCAAAGCCACACCTAGCATAGCCCCTCTAGCATAGCTGTGCCTAGCGTAGCCACACTTAGCATAGCTCACCTAGCATAGCCCCACCTAGCATAGCTATATCTAGCGTAACCCGACCTAGCATAGCCACACCTAGCGTACCCGAAACTAGCATAGCCCTACATAGCATTGCCATCGCACACACACACACACACACACACACACACACACACACACACACACACAAGCACACAAACAAATGAACAAACACACACACACACACACAAACAGTAGTTTTAGATGGATGGAGTCCTGGATCATGGATCAATACTTCACCATATTGATTTGTCTATCAGCAGGAGGTCCGCTTCTGCTGATTGGGCACCAGGCCTCAGTGTAGGCATGTGTGTGTGTGTGTGTGTGTGTGTGTGTGTGTCTCTCTCTTCAAAGTTCTTCCTTACACACACACAAGGGTAATTGAAAGATTAGCGATGAGATGACAACAGAGCTAGCAAAGCTAAGCGACCCTACAGGACTAGCAAAGCTGAGCGATAGCTTCAAAGCTAGCGAAGCTAAGTGATGCTATCAGCCTGGAAGTGCAACTCTCCAACAAAAGGTCTTTATTTCATTACCAAAGGTTATTTGAAACCCTCACAGTTATCTCTCACACTATCCATGTGCTTAATAACCACGCGCAACACTTATCTTAATCATTGAAAATATAGTCAGCAGTTCAGTACCAACAGAATTAGTAATTATCAGCACTCCATAAAGGCTATACTATCCTGCCTCTATCTCTCTATCTCACTTGTTTTGAACATAAAAATCAAATCAAACTTTATTTATGTAGCATTTTCTGTGCCAAATACAAAAGTAAATGTTAACACTTAACAAGGGAAACAACACAACAAAAACAAGAAACTTAAATGAGTTTAAAGTAACAATAAAAAACAGAGAACATCAGAATGAGCGATATTGCTGGGTAAGTTTGGATTATTTACAAGGAGTTATATTCTTGAATATTAAATAAAGAAAGGAAGATACATAACATAGCCTACCAACATACCGTACCGTTTTAATAAACAACAAACAAACAAAACGGAAAAGCATCAATAGAGGTGGTCACATACATGCTTCTGAAGTATCAGGATGAGTCATGTTGCCGCGGATACAGAGGCGTGGACTGGAGTGAACCCTGAGTCACGGGTAGAAACACATCAACACAGATCACTCGGATGGGTCTGAACGCACCATGAAGTCGCAAACACAGTTCAGCTCACTGACCATTTAAGGATATTTTTGTATTTTTGGGGGGTATATAAAATAACCACATGGTAAAGCCCCTTTTTGTATACCCCTGTGTTAATTAAATACTTGACAAATGAAAAGTACTTTCTAGTATTTTCTCATTTTTTTCATCACTTTACTGTTATGCAGCCTTTAAAACCAGGAAAAGACAACACGTATGCCATATCACAATGTTATGATATCCAAAATCTAAGACGATATCTAGTCTCATATTACGATATCGATATAATATTGCCCAGCCTTACTCTGTACTACACTATACTGCACTATACTACTACTCTTCGCTAATACACAAATACTCTTATCTAACAATGTTATACTGCTGTACTATCTACGATACTCTACTCGACAGTAATATTCTACTCTACTCTACTAAATAATAATGTGTCTTGAAAGTACAGTTTTGTACGGAGCCCCAGACATGACATGGTAAAAAAAAAATGTAGCTAAGTCGTGCGCACGACATACTAAGTCGTGCGCACGACATACTATTTCGTGGCCACGAAATAAGTCTGCGTGTGTGTGAAACGATCTGGGTTCTCATAAACCCGTTCGCGTTGGTAAGAGACGAGCAGAGTCTACAGCGTCCGCTCGCAGAGCAGAGTCTACAGCGTCCGCAGTCTACTGTGAAACAATTCACTCCAAAAAGGGTTATGGTTATGGTTATGGTTATGGTTAGGGTTAGGGTTAGCGTAATCTATCACCGTGACCGGGTTATTATTGGAGTGAATGGACGCTGTAGACTCTGCTCGTCTCTTACCACCGCGATTTGTCACGTCTAGGGGCGTGACAAATCGTCGGTATATTACGAGTTGGGACGAGAACGGGCTCCGTGCCCACGAAATACTAAGTTTTGGCCACGAAGTAGGTATAATGTGCGCACTACCTGGACAGCTGGGTAAGCAAATCGAGCGCACCTTGCCCATGTCAGTTCGTACGAGCACAGCGCTCCACTGCTTCCACAAAGTATCCCCCGATAACTTTCGGGTCGCTGTTAGTGAGGGCGGCCCGCAGCCAAATTATGTTACGTGAGAACCCGTCGAAGCAGCCATTAATGCATATATGCATTAATGCCAGCCCGTTCTCATCCCAACTCGTAATATACCGACGATTTGTCACGCCCCTAGACGTCTGACATTGACGCAAAAGGTACCCTCCCGCGTCTGTGTGAAACGATCTGGGTTCTCATAAACCCGTTCGCGGTGGTAAGAGACGAGCAGAGTCTACAGCGTCCGCTCGCAGAGCAGAGTCTACAGCGTCCATTCACTCCAATAATAACCCGGTCACGGTGATAGATTACGCTAACCATAACCCTAACTATAACCCTGACCATAACCCTTTTTGGAGTGAATTGTTTCACAGTAGACTGCGGACGCTGTAGACTCTGCTCGTCTCTTACCACCGCAAACGGGTTTATGAGAACCCAGATCGTTTCACACACACGCAGACTTATTTCGTGGCCACGAAATAGTATGTCGTGCGCACGAAATAGTATGTCGTGCGCACGACTTAGCTACTTTTTTTTTTTTTTTTTACCATGTCATGTCTGGGGCTCCGTAGTTTTGAAACTAGAAAACAAGAAAAAGTGGTAATTGTTACAGTAGGGGGCAGCCTGACTATCGGCCAGATACACAAAGAGGCTGTGGGGACGTACGATAGCCAGCTGATGGTTGCTGTACCTTTGCTGTTTCAGTTGGGAGACGCGGCATCTTTATCTGGCTTCAGAGACTGTTCTCTCTACTCTCGCTTCCTTTCCTTCTCTTTCTCCCACTCGCTCTCTTTCTCCCTTTCACTCTCGATATCTTATTGTCTCTCTTACTCTCCCTCTCTATTCCTCTCCCCTTCTCCCCCTCTCTCCCTCTCTCCCCCTAATTCTCTCTGTCCTTCTCCATCTCGCTGTCTCTATTTCTCTCTCCTATTCTCCATCTCTCTCTTTCTCTCGTTAACTCTCTCTTGGTGCATGCTGGGAGTTGGATGCGTGAGATTGTGTTGTCGCCAGTGTGTGAAGGTGATGTCAAACTATTCTATATCTGACTTTACTGATTGTGTTTGAGTTTTGCTGTATCTAGCTTGGTGCTGTCGTTGGCTGTGACAGTGTGTGGTATCCCCAGGGATGATATAAAACAGCGGGGGTCTTCATGTTTGTGGGGTGCAGTTGATTCGGAGTGGCAGCGTTATTCTTAATGGTGCGTTTTACTAGCTTCACCTCTGGCTGTTCCATCAACAAGAGAGACTATTTCTGGTGGGCCCCCAATGAAGCTTAAATTCATCTGGAAAAGTCAATTTAAAACCGTAGGACTCGGGTGTAAAAGACAGATGCTTAAATGCGTACGATCCCTAAGGCGGCGTTTATGTTTAAAATTCTCCTGATGGAAGCATCATTCAGGTTGTGAGGAGTGAGTTTGCACTGTATACGTCAGCATGGGAAATACGCTAGGCTATTAGTTAGCTACACACAGTTGTAGCTAACAGTTAGCTATGAGCTTTATCTAAAGCATCTTATAATTTGCATTGGTGGCCCCAGTGGGAATCGAACCCATAACCCTGGCAGGGTTAATGCCATGCTCTACCAATTTAGCTGGACAGGACCACCCTATTATATGTGTATTTAAATTGAGAAAATGCTTATTGGCCTCTGTCTCTCTCTCCCTGTCTCCCTGTCACTTGTCCAGGTAATGACCTGTTCCTGGTGGCGGTCCATGAGTTGGGCCATGCCCTGGGTCTGGAGCACTCCAATGACCCGTCTGCCATCATGGCTCCCTTCTACCAGTACATGGAGACCTACAACTTCAAGCTGCCGCTGGACGACTTGCAGGGCATCCAGAAGATCTATGGTAGGCAGCCTGCCACCACATACACTTCCACCAAATACTACGAACACAGTTGAATAGATAGAAATACATATGAATAGATGGGAATAGAATAGATAGCTATATGAATGGATGGGAATAGAATAGAATAGATAGCTATATGAATAGAATAGATAGCTATATGAATGGATGGGAATAGAATAGAATAGATAGCTATATGAATAGAATAGATAGCTATATGAATGGATGGGAATACAATAGAATAGATAGCTATATGAATGGATGGGAATACAATAGAATAGATAGCTATATGAATGGATGGGAATATAATAGAATAGATAGCTATATGAATGGATGGGAATACAATAGAATAGATAGCTATATGAATGGATGGGAATACAATAGAATAGATAGCTATATGAATGGATGGGAATACAATAGAATAGATAGCTATATGAATAGAATAGATAGCTATATGAATGGATGGGAATATAATAGAATAGATAGCTATATGAATGGATGGGAATAGAATAGAATAGATAGCTATATGAATGGATGGGAATACAATAGAATAGATAGCTATATGAATGGATGGGAATACAATAGAATAGATAGCTATATGAATGGATGGGAATATAATAGAATAGATAGCTATATGAATGGATGGGAATACAATAGAATAGATAGCTATATGAATGGATGGGAATACAATAGAATAGATAGCTATATGAATAGATGGGAATAGAATAGAATAGATAGCTATATGAATAGATCGGAATAGAATAGAATAGATAGCTATATGAATGGATGGGAATATAATAGAATAGGTAGCTATATGAATGGATGGGAATAGAATAGAATTAGATAGCTATATGAACAGATAGGAATAAAATAGAATAGATAGCTATATGAATAGATAGGAATAGAATAGAATAGATAGCTATATGAATAGATAGGAATAGAATAGAATAGATAGCTATATGAATAGATAGGAATAGAATAGAATAGATAGCTATATGAATGGATGGGAATATAATGTCGACATCGTTATTTGTACTTTTGGTCATTAAAGAAAATGTCATGTTGCGTTTAAAGGTCATGGAAATTCAAAATATCGGAGGAAGTCTGGGAATTTTACAATTGACAGAGTGGGAATTTGGTAGACTGGTAGGCACAGTGTAGCAGCACATTAGACATACAATTTATATACATTATATTACATTAACATGTGCAAGTAATTACTTTACACATTAATTGTAGAAATTAAAAAAAGGATGAAGGTGTGCCTTAGCTGGGAAAAATGTGAAAAAACGGTCAGGGTAGTGTAGTGGTTAGGGGGTTTGACTCCCAGCTAAAAGGTACTTAGTTTGATCCCCCAATGTCCCCCAATGTCCACAGTCTAGATGTAGGCATCCTTGAGCAAGATGCCAGTTAAATCAGATACATGTCATTAAGGAATAGGTAGGGGTTGGATGACTAAATGACTATAGAGTAAATACTAAAAAAAACATGACATGATCACTCTCTGACCAATCATCTCTGCAGGGATCCCGACGGCCATGTTGGAGCCCACCAGGCCCCTCCCCACACTGCCGTCACGACGAACCCACTCCACCTCGGAGCGCAAGCCGCGCCCCCCGCGCCCCCCCTCCGCTGACCGCCCCGCCCTCCCGGGGAACGGGAAGCCCAACATCTGCGATGGGAACTTCAATACCGTGGCCTTCTTCAGGCGGGAGATGTTCGTGTTCAAGGTGAGTGGGGGTCGGAGGTCACCAAGAGTGGGAGTGAAGGGTCAGAGGGTGGCAGGGGGTGAGGGTCGGAGGGTCATGGGGTTGGGAGGGGACGAGGAGAGGGGGACGGGGGTAGCAGCACCAGGAAGTAGAACAGATGGTCTGGACACCGGAGGGTTGCTGGTTCGATTCCTGTCTCCCTCTGGCTAAATGTTGAGGTGCCTTTGAGCAAGGCACCTAACTCCTTACGAGCTGGATGTTGACACCACCGTTGTCTACAGTGAATATCAGTGAGGTGAACCAGTAGCTTGGTGCTATTGGTTGTGCTGACCCATTATGGCCAGTACTCACTAGATCCAGTGAAGACAAGACATCAGCAAGTCTACTGCACACACACACACACACACACACACACACACACACACACACACACACACACACACACACAAAGGCTAACATGCACTGAGCCAGAGTGCACGTGAGATGGTAGAAGTGGCCTTTACAGTCCACTGCTGTCCCTCATTTATCTCACACACAGAACGCTTTGAAATATGATGATGTTTTGTGTGTGTGTGTGTGTGTGTGTGTGTGTGTGTGTGTGTGTGTGTGTGTGTGCGTGTGTGAAAGCATTACTTACAGAGTAAAGGGAACAGAGGGGAAAAATTCAATCTGATATCTCTGATCTTTAAAGTGAAAATGTCAGTAATATGTCTCTGTCTCTGTATGTCTGTCTGTCTGTCTCTCTCTCTCTCTCCCTTTCTCGCTCTCTCTCTGCTTGTCTGTCTGTCTGCTTGTCTCTGTCTGTCAGTATTTCTAACATTTGTATGTCTTTGTTCTTGGCTGCTTGTCAACCTTTGTAGAATGTTTCTTTTTGGCAGTTTTTCTTTTATTGTTGGAAAAACTGTCTACACATTGGCCTGTCTGTGTGTCTCTGTCTTCCCTTCTTCATCTCTGTCTCTCTTTCTCCCTGTCTGTATTTCTCTGTCTGCATGTCTGCCTGTCTTTGTCTGTCGGTTTTTGCATTCCCTCGTGAAATGTGTGCTAGCTGTACGCTAGTAGCTGTAAGATGCTATGTCCACTAGGTGTATGCGAGATGTGCACTAGTTGTCTGCTAGGTGTATGCTACTTTTATGCTCGCTGTACGCTATGCAAGGTGTATGCTAGCTGTACTGTAGATGTATGCTATGTGTATGTTAGCCGTATGCTAGTTTTATGCTAGGTGTATGGTAGCTGTATGACAGGTGTATGCTAGCTGTAAGCTAGCTGTCTGATAGGTGTAGGCCTACGCTAGTTTTATGCTAGCTGTATTCTAGGTGTATGATAGGCGTATGCTAGCTGTACTCTAGCTGACTGATAGGTGTACGCTAGCTGTATGCTAGGTGTATGCTAGCTGTACGCTATTTTTACGCTAGGTGTTTACAGTAAAGAGAGATACTTTATGTTCTCCAGTAGGAGCAACACATTGATTTATTTTCTGTTTCAGACAGAACAGCATTAGCAGCCAGTGGATGATGTTTCATCATCTGAACTCATGCTACACTATCTGTGTGTGTGTGTGTGTGTGTGTGTGTGTGTGTGTGTGTCTCTGTGTTCGTGTAACAGTCGCTGGGGACTGTATGGCCGTGTCCTAGATTCCAAATGATAATGAGTTATGATTGATGCCTCTCTCCTCCTATCCCCCCCTCTCCTCCTCTTCTATCTTCTCTCCACCCCTCCCTTCCTCCTTTCCACTCCTCTTCTGACCTCTCCTTGTCGTCTCCTATTCACACCTCTGCCTTTATCCTCTCTACTTTTCTTTTCCGCTCTCCTTTATCGACATTCCCTCTTCCTTATCATCTTCCTTCTCCTCTTCCTCCTCCTCACACCTTCATTCAGTGTTTCCTTTTCACTCAGTCTTGCTTAACCTCCCTAACCCTTTCTGCTCTCTTCCCTTTCACTCTTCTCCCCCTATCTTCCTATTCTTGTCATCCTCCTTCTCTCTTCCTACTCTCCTCTGCCTATACTGTATTCTCGTTACAGTCTGTCTTGTTCCTCCTGATCCTCTCCTCTGCTCCTCCTCCTTTCGTTCCCCTCCTTCTGCTCCTCCTTTCCTCCTCCTCATCCATCTCTCCCCCTGGTCCTCCTCTCCTCCTAATATGTTTCTCCTTATTTTCTTATTTTCACATGCCTTATCCTTCTCCTTTCAGTCTTTCTTCTCATTCATTGTACGTTCTCTTTATTCCATCTCGTCTGTTCTCTCCTCATTCTTCACAGACTTGACCATGGTCTTCTTTTATCTCCTCTCTCTCCATCATCTCTCTCTCTCTCTCTCTCTCTCTCTCTCTCTCTCTTTCTCTGTCTCTCCACACCATGTCCTCGATTACCCCCAGTCTCTCACCTCACTTGACCCCTCTCTGTTCTTCTCTAATGTCAATTTCTCTTTCTTGTTTTTCCTTTCTTTCTTGTGTTCGCTCTTGTTGTTTATTGTTCATTCTTCTCTTGCCCTTTTGTCTTCTCTTCATTCGTTAAACTTCTCTCTTATCTGCAATTCTCCTCTTCTCTCCTCTATCGGGTCTCTTCTTCTCTTCTCTCTTCTCCTCTCTCCTCTTCATTCTCTCCTGTACCTCTTCTCCTCTTCTCTTCTCTCCTCTCCTCCCCCTTTTATCTCCCCTCTGCTCCCTTCTCCTTAAATTACTCATGGGTTACCAGCACTATAGATCTCTGTCTGAGTTAACAGATGAAATTGAGATGAGATTCCATGAAACAGAACTCCGCTGACGCCACCTCAGCCCCAGAGTCAGACTTGTTAACTATAGCGTTCATACTTTGATTCAGATTGATTGATTCAGATGGCTGTACTCTCTCTCTGCCAGACTAGAGGGAAGACAAAGCCACAGGGTTTGAACACTGGGTTAATATTACAGTGTGTGCTCAGCAGAAACCCATTGAAATGCTCTTAGAAGAAACAAAGAGGGACCGAGGAACAAAAAACTATACTGATGAATCAAACACCAAAGACTGATGATCACAGATGAGGAGATCTTTATTATTTCATAGTTGAGAATAATCTA